TTCCAATTCCTCCTGACCAGGATTGGAGGTAGGCTTAACAATCTGCTTTATGTAGATGACACAACCTTGCTTGTTGAAACTTAGGAAGACCTGAAGTGTTTGCAGAAGGTCAAGGACTGCAGCCTTCACTATGGATTGAAGCTCAACATCAAGAAAACAAAGATTCTCAACACTGGGCAGATTGGCAATATCATGATAGATGTTGAAGAGATTGAGATTGTTGACAGCTTCAGTTTGCTTGGTTCTATAGTCAACACTCTTGGTACCAGCAGCCAAGACATTAAAAGATGAATTGCATTGGAAAAGTCTGCTGTCAGAGACCTCTCCAAGGTACTGAAGAGCCATGATGTCAATCTGGAGACTAAGGTGTGCCTGATATGGGCCATGGTCTTTGCAATTACTTGCTATGCATCAGAGAGCTGGACAGTGTCTAGGAATGATAGATAGAAGGAGAGTTGGTGCCTTTGAGCTGTGGTGCTGGAGAAGAGTGTTGATATACCATGGACTGCTAGGAGAACAAACAAGTTCATACTGGAGAGGGTGGAGCCAGGCTGCTCCTTGGAGGTAAGGATTCTGAAGCTTCATCTGACATACTTTGGACATGTTGCAAGGCAGGATCAGTCCTTGGAGAGGGATGTGATGTTTGGAAGGGTGGAGGAACAGCACAGGAGAGGGAGACCCTCGATGAAATGGATTGATTCAGTCACTGGGGTAATGGAGATAGTTGTGTTGGAGACAGTAAGATTGGCAAGTGATAGAGCAGAGTTTAGGGCTGTTGTACATAGGGTTGCTATGAGTCGCAGGTGACTCGACCGCACATAACAATAACAAATCATTTAGACTTCTTTCTTCATCTCTAAGATGCTGGGCACTCTTCCTCCTTTGTCTCTCTGCACCTCTCCTTTCACCTCTAGGATCTTGCTATCCATCTAGATTATCACCAAGTTCTCATCTCTCAGAAGCCTCCTTTTCCAGGACACCTTAAAATCACCACTACCCCCACCAGAGCACCTCATCTATCTCTTCTGATCTCTCTGTAACTCAGGTTTATTCCTGCCCCATGATCCTCACTAGTTGGGGGCCCTACCATCATCTCCTTTGTTCTTACTACTTTTCTACCTTCCCTCTCTCCACCAGACCACAGGCTGCTTTTGGCCCAACTCCTCAGCCTTCCCTCTTTCACCTTGTTTCCCTAGCTCTCATGGCCCCTCTCTGTACATCACACCACAGACCCAAATCCTTGTTTCCCATCAAGGTGGCTCTAGCCTTTCTCTGTGAGAAGCTCTGGTGATGTCATTCATTATGTGTTGTGTTGCTCACTGAAAGGTGAAGGTCTTGAGTCCACTAGATCCTCCATGGGAGAAAGATAGACAGTCTCCTCTGACAATGATTTATATCCTCCGAAACCCAAAAGCAATGAGTTTTGATTTGAATTTTAGCCTTTGTCCATAATAGGCCTTCTCTCAGCATTTCCACTTATCCTGTGCTGGTTTTCCCACCCAATCCGTCTGTGGATATAAACTCTCCAGACCTCAGTAGACACCTACACCTGTCACTCCTTTTTTAGGAAATTAAGACCAAAACAAACAAAAAAAAAACAACACACCCCACCTATTAGATGTTTGGTTTCTAAAATGAAGTCCAATTATTTAAAAAATGAAGTTTCGTCTTTGGCTTCTTTTCTTTTCCAGGACTCCATAGCCTTCTCTATGAAGTGAGAGTAGACTTCCAGCATGAATCTGTGCAGCAGCAATTCTTCACTGAGGAATATGTGGATGGAAAGCACATCCTGCACTATGACAGCGAGAAAGACCAGGCAGAGCCACAGGGTCGGTGGGCTGAAGCCTTCCTGAGAAATAAGGCCTGGAACACAGAGATTATAGACTTGAAAGAGATGGGGAAGAATCTTAGGATGACTGTGGCAGATTCCTTGAACCTGGAGGGCCCGAAGGAAGGTGAGATGAGGGAAGAGACAGAGGAGTATGAAGCTTGCCCAAAGGGCAGGGAGCTGAGAGGTAGAGACCTGTCTGTTTCCATGTAATTTTGTCGGGATGCAGTGACAGGGATGTGATTCTAAAAATGCAGCCAGGAGGTATATTGTCTCTTGGGAATGGATGGAGGTAAAAAAGGAAGTGTGTTTTGGGCTGGAGTTTCTCACTTTGGGTGGAATAGGCAAAAAGGCCCAGGAGTGGGGAAGTAGTAGATTTGATAGTACTAGTAGTGAGGTTAGGAGTGATGAGTTTGGGGTTGGATTATAAAGTCAGTCTAGTTTAGTGATGTTTGAGGTTGGAAATATAGTTAGGGCTGTTGAGTAAGCTAAAACGTATATAAAAATCAAGATTTAATAGTGCTATGATAGCTATAATAAGAGGCAGAATAAGAGTACTGTTTTTGGTGATCTCTTGAATAATTAATCATTTAGGCATAAACCCTGAAAATGGGGGCATCCCACCTGTTGATATGAGGGTTGTAAGGATTAATAATATAAGAATTGGGGCTTTGTTTCAGTTTGATGCAAGAATAGATAAGGTTGTTGAGTGGTTAAGATTAAGTAATAGGAACAAGGTCAGGGTAAGGATAATATAGATGAACAGATTGAGTATGGTGATCGATGGGTTGTAAATAATAACAGTGGTTATTCATCCTATGTGGGCAATTGAGGAGTAGGCTATGATTTTTCGGACTAAAGTTTGGTTGAGACCTCCTCACCCTCCAATTATGGTTGAAAGAATGGCAGAGCCTAGTAGAATATTGTGATTGATTGATGTTGAGATTTGATAAAGAATAGAAATTGGGGCTAGCTTTTGTCATGTAAGAAGGATCATTCCTGTTCATAAAGAAGTACTTTGAAGTACTTCTGGAACTCAAAAGTGGAAAGAGGCTATTCCTAGTTTTATTGGCAGGGCAATTAATATTAGGAGAGAGGCAATTGGATTAGTTAAATTTATGATTGATCATTGACCTGAATTCACAAAGTTAATTAGGGCAGATATTATTAGTAGTATTGATGCTGAGGCTTGTATTAGGAAGTATTTTGTGGCGCCTTCAGTTGATCGTGGATTATGAGGGTTAATGATGAGTGGAATGATGGCAAATAGGTTTATCTCTAGACCTAATCATGCTGTTAACCAGTGTGAGCTAAATATAGTTAGTATAGACCCTGAGAGTTAGGATTAGTAATAATGCTAATGGGTTAATTAGTACGGGAAGGATTAAAACCAACATTTTCGGGGTATGGGCC